ATTTCTTTTAGCAAGTTCAAAGTTTTACTGCAATCGCCTTTCATTGCTGCAATGATTTGAATAAATAAAGACAAATAATAGAAATCAATAACTTATTTTCTAATGACAGGTTATCTGATTTCTTCCTCTTAAATCTGTGTGAATGCTTTACATCACACACACACACACGCACACACACCCTCTGCCTCTGTCAGCAGCAGTCCTGGTCATCTCTCTCCGTGGTTCTGAACGCCCTGCTGTCCCTGGCTGGACGTCCATCTGGTCTTCCTGTGGTCGTGTCTTTTTACGTGGAAGATTCCTTTATGAGTGGCTTGTTTCTGCTTTTAATTAAATGATATTTGCTGTGCTGTAAAGATAAGAGCTGGAGACGCAACACAATGGTTATCATACAGTAATGTGATGTTTTTTTTACATTTTCATCACTGACAAAACGAAACAAAAATCATGTTTTTATCTGTCTGAGATCAGTAAGGATATTAGACTGAGAGTAAAATCCTTGATTTGAACTGAAGAACACTGGTTGTGTCGGCATTCCTGCACTGAAACTGTAACTGCAGCCTGCTGCACTAAGCCCTGACCATGAAAATCTGATCAAATCTGCTGTAAATCCCTTCCTGTCTTTACATTTCTAATAACAAGTAAACTTCCTGCTCCAGTATGTGTCACAGATTAAGCCATCCCTTAATGCTGCGTGTGCAGAAAGATTTCTGTTGCACGCTCCCTCCCAGAAAATACAGGATTTCACACCCTAAAACCGTCCCCTGACTCCTCATTATGGGCTGCAACACAATGGGAGGGATTTCAGGGTCGCACCCTCTTCCTCCTCCTCCTCCTCCTCCTCCTCTAACATGGTGCAGTGTTCCTCCTCCTGGTTTGGCCCCAGGAATGAATATCTACAGCCTGGGATTCTATTGTTAAGACACTGAAGTACAAAAGGCAGATGAAGCCTGAAGACTGAATACATTAAATGCTTTTCTTTGCAGAGAACTGAACAGGTGTTCAATGAGAAACTCCAAGATTAAATCAGTTTTATGAAAATGGTGAAAACTATAAAAGTTTACAGTAAAGATGTAGTTATCCAGGTTTGTAAAACTGCCAGTTCAGATTTTGCTTTGAGAAATTAAAAGTTTAAGTTATTTTTCCTGCCTGGATCGATGGCCTACTGTGAGCATGAGACACTTTTCACAAACACAACGATAATTTGGAATTGAACAAAAGAATATATTATGATCTTTACCATCTTAAGTCAGCCGTAAACAGAGTTAGCATGACTGAAATAAAAAATTTTCTAGTCATGTTTGTTGTGAAGTAAGAAGATCCAAATGCAGGTATGGATAAAGCAAAATTCATTTAATGGATATTTTTTGCAGGGAACAAAACTTAATTATATGAATAATCAAGAGGCCGACATACAGAACAGTTGGATCTGAAGTGGAAGTGGTAAAATTCAGAGACATTTGGATTTTTATGGAGTGAAAAAATCAGAATTGAGTCGTTCAAACTGCTGTGTTGGATATGGGTCACATTCTGCCTGCCTGGACACACTGAAGCGCTGTTGTGTTTTTGTTTGGTTAGTTTGTTATGATCAAGTCGATGTGGGTGGTGATGCTGTGGGCAGGAAGAACCTCCAGCAGCAGTCAATCTTCTAACAAATCTAAAAAGGCTTCTGACAGAAGTTATTACTGTTTGACAGTCTCATGCTAACATGCTAACAGCTCAATGTCCCAATATTCCACAGTAACATGTTTTGGACGTCACCATTAGATGGTAAGCTAGTTCTGCTATTCCAACTCCTTTGCTTTGCCGCTCCTCTTTAAATCTCTATCTGGCCATTTGAGCTTTTGAAATGTTAATCAGCTTCTCCCAATGGTAAAAAAAAAATACCTTGTTGTCATGGTTACACATCACAACAATTGTCCAAAAGTAAAACAGAAAAAAAAAATCCTTTCAGCTAACAAATATTCCAGAGGAAATAATCATCCAAACCTGCAAAAATTCAACCAGAAAAGTTTGATTTAACCATCAAACTACCATCAGTTGGTTCTGCATGAAGCTGAAACATCCTGAGCCTCTTCATGTGTCAGCAGCACTGCACGTCCATCACCGTCACTCTGTGTGATTGTCTGTAAGTGGACAGGAAATGTGTCCCGTGAAGGAAGAAGGTCTGTTATAAAACCGTCTGCTGCTCGTTAGGATCCTCTCTGGATGAGCGGCTCCTGACTCATTGTCTCTAACTGGGACATCGTGTCTCTCTGTGTCTCCATCTGGCTCCAGCTCTGCATTTCCAGCCAGTCAGTTTGAGTTAAGAGCAAAATTTAAGAAAATTGAATTAAAAACTGTTGGAAAAAAAACTTTCACTCATTACTTTTGCTTCAGTGCTACTTTATTTGTGTGGGAGCAGCAGTCATGTGAAATCTCCCCTGTTTGCTGGGCAACCTGGCAGGGAGCAGAAACTCCCACAACTCGTCCTGCGAAGTCCTTTTCTTCTGCTGATGCTGCCAGATTTCTCGTGTCCCACCTCCTGGCCTCAGCTTCTTTGCTCTCGTCGATGTGGGAATCTGGCTCGTTCGGTTTCCCCGTGCTTTGAATTAATGAGCTGAGCTTTTTTTTAATTGTTCACATGCTGTTCCTTTTCCAATCAAGTCCTTCACTGCAACCACACTGCTGCTCTCTGGAGAGCGAGGGAGGACAGCGGGGAGGCGGGCGGGACAATCTGAAGGAAAACAGAAAAAACTGGAGAACAGACTAATAATAATAATAATAATCGAGCTACATTTTGCTTTGTTTACATTTTTGTGCATCACTGGATTTTACCCATTAAAAGTGGAAGTTACTGAGCAGGTTGTTTATGCCTGAAGGCTTGGATGTTCTGTGTTTGCATTTCTTTCAGTTGACTGATTATTGCTCACTTAATTCTTATGCTAACTCTAACTTTGTGTTTCAAAGGCAAAATAAAATGTTCTGTTGAAGTTAAATGTCGTGTGGGGACGTCAGCCTCTGCCTGCAGGAGTCTTGGCTCTAAACCTGGACATGTCCTGGTCCAGATTTTTAGGTTATTTAGGAATATGAAGCTGCTCAGTTGGGGGCACACTTCGGCTATGTGCTAATCGCTTATGTTAGCGCTTTAGCGTTTTTGCTAAATTGGAAACTGTTTATCAGACTTTGCTTCTTCTAAATTAAATTTCCAGACACATTATGAAGCGCTAATTTACTTGACTGTTTTATAAGCTTCCATACAAACATCATGTGGAGCCCCCTAGTGGTCTGCTGCAGTGTAATATTTAGAGATTTTTTGCTTTCTTATCACTCTTAAATGTTTTATATCATCAAAAAATTCTGAAATCAGACTAAGACGATGTGAGTGAATCCTGAAAGCAGTTTGTGAGCTGCTTTCTGTTTCTCTGATCACAGTCAGAGATCACAGAGTTAAACAGAGAAATCCCTCAACAGATCCTGTCTGACCTGCAATGCCATCCATTCATTTTCCAACAGTGTGGAGAAATAATTTGTAGCCACATTAGTGACTAAACATTCACTAAATAAGAGAAAAATATTTTCCAACATGAATAATTTAGATTTCTTGAACAAAAGCGAAACAGAAAACTGATCCGTTGTGGGAGGAAAAAATCAGATAGTGATTCATGTCTAATGGAAAATAATGGAAACTCGTATCTGATAAATGATTCATAATGAACAGGGAAGAGGATGTTTATTGGAAGGAGGAGTTTAGTCATAACCTTCTTCATACATTTTTCTCTGTTTATTATTTTGGTTGTCTTATTAATCATGATCTTCACCCTAAAGCCTTCTAGTATTTCTGACCTTGAATTGTTTACAGTTTCACATCATGTGTTAATTTTGAGCATAAAAATCTCCAGACGAAGCCGCATTGATTGACTGAGGCCAGCGGCACCGCGGCCCGGTTCTGCTGAGGCGCTGAGACCAGGGGAGGGGTCAGAGAGTATCGAACCGCCAGGCTGCTGCTTCACGGAGAAATCCGTCTTATACTCATGAAAGTCTGACTGCAATCAGAAATAATGGCAGAACCTCAAACTCTATTTATGTTTTAGTTTTGTTATTTTGTTATTAAAACCTGCTGTGTGTTTGTTACTCATCTGATGCTGGTTTGAGATTTTTGGTTTTGATCATTTAATCAGTCTTTCTTTATTATGCGTATGGGTTAAAGCACATTAATTTATTGTATAAATGCTGAAAAAAAATATTTTTTATTTTGATTCTTTAATTTTAGGAAAGATATAATGATTGATTTTGATGGGAAAGTGGTTTTGATGGAAATACATTTTTGTTTTTTGGAAAATTTTGAATAAATTTAACCTACTGAAGACTTCACATTTTTACTTTTCATCTAGTAACGTTTTTTTTCTGTAGTAAGTACCTTATTTAATTTTCTTCATTTATCATTCACACTCTTTCTGTAAAAGATGAATGTTTAAAATGGTTAATGTATTGATTATCATACCCTGCAGACACAGAGAAAACAAAGACATTCATGAATTAAAATTTCATCATTAAGAATTAATTAAAACTATTATTTTTCCTTAGTTTGTTTGGAAGGTTTTCAAAGTGCTGCTGCTGCATTGATCATCTTTGAGATCAGTTAATGAAGATGATGGATTAAGTTGAGTTTTTCTCTCCTTTCCTCTCCATCCTTTCAAGTCGTCGTTTATGTGGGACGACTTGACGTTGAGGATGTTCAGCTCCGTCTGAGTCTCTGTTCTTTTTATTGGCGAAGCAGCGCCTCCATGATTGGCTCCGTTTGTTCTGTTGGTGCTGCTTTGGTTTCCTCAATCAAGCCTCGGCGCCTTCAGTCAGCTTCCAGTGATGTGAAAACCTGTGTCAGGAAAATGGGAACAGTGTGTCTATTGATCTGTGAAACATCAGCCGCCGTGGACGGCCCAACAGGTCGCTCATGTTGGCGACGACCGCAGTTTCGCCTGGCGGCCAGCTGCAGGTCCGTCATGTGGTTTCTCTCTCTCCAGGCGTTCGGTCAGGCCTACACCAACCAGCGCAAGGTGGCAGAGGATGGAGAGACCATTGAGGAGACACTGCTGCAGGAGTCAGCCTCCAAGGAGGCGTATTACATGGGCCGGCTGCTGGAGCTGCAGACGGAGGTGACGCTGAGCCGCTCGGTGGCGTCCAACGCTCAGGCGGAGAACGAGAGGCTCAACGCGCTTCTGCAGGAGCTGCGAGAGGTGAGCTTGACTTATGGCAGATTTATTTTCATTTTGTGAACGTGAGGTAGCTGGTTGACCTTTGATGACCTCTGGAAGCATTTATTGATATTTTTAAAATGATAGCGGCACAAGTGAATATTTTTGCTGAACAAACGTTTGACAGTTTGGTGAAGAGAGGCAACATCACTCAGGTGCAGGTGTGGAAGTGGACAGCTTTTACTGTAGAACAGGGGTGTCAAACTCAATTTCACCGAGGGCCACTTCAGCATATTGGCCCCCCTCAACGGGCCACATTGACGGTACAAATCAGGAGTGCATCCCTGCTAAAACACCCCAGACAAAAGGTTGACTTCCCTCATTCAGTTCTGTAGAGGCTTATAATGAGTAAATGATCCAGGTGTGTTAGAGAAGGAATCCATCTAAAGCTGCAGATGGTAGCTCTGGAAAACTAGACTTGGGCAGCCCTAGCATAAATGTATAAAATACAATGTTAAAAATAAATTAAACACCTCATATTGTTAAATGTATTGAAGTTTTAAATATTACATTTGAGTTTCCATGGATGTAAAATTACTGCTCAGTTTAAAAATTACAATATTTAAATCAGTGTTTAAAGGTAAGAAAACAAATAATAAAAACAAGTCACAGATTTAGTCTCAGAGGCAACTGAAACCAGTTAATTAAAAACATTCTTTCTGAATATCATCTCATGGTCTCTGAACTAAATGCGTCTTTCTGACCGGGAGCTGACGGCGTGTTGAAGAGTTATGGACCGGACGCTTTGGAGCGTCTGGTTAGGAAGCACATAACAAACCTTTGGTTGAAATGTAGTTTGTAGTCAATTCCTGCTCAAAACCTATTTTAAGTCAATCATTGGCCTATAAAATGCTGGGGGGCCACATGTGGCCCGCGGGGTTTGAGCATTACACCATAGAACTGCCAATAGGC